AAAAAGGGGGTAGTTTTAACCCAAATTTTAAAAAAATTCCCCCCATTTTTTTTATATCAGAAATTTTTTGTTATTTGAAAATTTTTAAAATCTCCCTTTTGAAGAAAAAACACATTTGATTTGGCAAAAAAAAATTTTTCCCTGTATGTTTTTTGTTTCATTAGAGCAGATTGTTATGTTTTGAAGTAAGTTGATAAAAAATTAAAAAAATATTAAAATATTTAATATTCTTTTCAATACTGGGTTTTTAAAATTTCATATTAAAATTTTGTTTTTCTCCCTTTGGGTTTGCAAAAAGTTAAAAAACTGTTTAGATGAAAATAGGTGTCTGAATACTTTTATTACCCCCAAAAATAGCAATCTTTTCTTTCAAACAGACTATAGACCGTTTGACTGAATTGGAATAAAAATGTTTTGTCCTGCCAAAAATGTTTTAGTGTATGAACTTATTAAAAATGAAAATAGTTTTGAAAAAAATCTTGATAATTTTTGTAAAAACTTTCTAAAAAATTTTAAAAATTTAAAATTTTTATGTTTTTGGGTTTTAACCTCAAATGGGTTTCCCTTTTAAAGGCCCCTATACCGTTATATTTAAAAATTTAAGAATGAACAAAAATTTAGTTTAAAATTAATATAAGTTAAAATGTTTTTTTATTTTTGTAGATGGAAAGAAAATGTATTTAAACATTTAAAAATAAAAAATTTTAAAAATTTTTAAAGATGTGCATTTAAAAATTTTTAAAATTTTCTATTTTTAAATTTTTAAAAAAGGGAAAAAAGGAATTTTTTTAGTTTTGTCAATGGAGTTGTTGTCGTAACTCATTTTCAGCTGGATCTGTCCTTCAAACTCCTCTTTGAAAAAAAAAATTTCCCAGACCCTAAGGCAATTAAATTTCCAAAAACTTCCTAGGAAAAAATCCCTTTTTGGTTTTATTTCTTTTTTAAAGTTGTTTAAAAAAAAAAATTCTTTCTTTTTCAGAAAACATTTTCCTTTGGGAACTGAAAAAAAATTTAAAAAAACCCCTTTTTACTCCCGCATAGGGGGTTTAAAATTGGGGTTTAAAATTATGTGGGAGCCTTTTTGTATGGGCAGCCCAAAAAACTTTTGCCCCGAAATTTTTACCCCAAATTTTTTGACTTCAAAAAAATTTTTGTTTCCGGGTTTTTCATTTGCAATGAGGTTTCACTTTTCATAAAAATATTTGTGTATTTTTTTTAAAATTTTCCTGAAAAATTGTAGGGTTTAAAAAAGTGAAAATAGCTTTTTTCTATATTTCCTAATACATTTTTGATTGACCCGGACTATTTTAAAATTTGCAAACTAATTTTTAATTTTTCCAAATTGGGTGTCCCTTTGGGTTTTTTTGTGATCTTTTTAAAATACATATTCCCAAAAATTTTGTAAAGCATAATTTAAAAAGCTAAAGGTTTTTTCAAATGAAGTCCTTTAATCATCAAAAAAAATTTCCCCTGAATTTGCACTATCGAGAAAACTTTCAGGGATAAATTTTGTCAGTCGACCCAAAACCATAACTCTGCACAATATTTTGGGCCCTGCATATATTTGTACTTTAAAACCCTTTAAAGGGGATAATTTTTCCCCAACATTGCAGGTTTTAATATTTTCCGGGTTTAATGGAAAAATCAATGCTTTTTCAACTAGACCAAACAGTCAAAAAAATTATAAAAAAGACGTTTAAAACTAGGGCTCATGACAAGGTATAGCTTTAAGATTTTATGGACTTTAAACAATAACAACTAGTAAATACAAATTTCAAATTAAATTTTTTTCCCTTTATTATATGGTAATATAACATATTTTTAAAAATATACTGATTAAAAGATAAATTTTTTAAGAAAAATTCTATTTTATTTTATTTTAAAATAATATTTAAAGATATATGTTATAAGGAAAGGGCGAGTACACTAAACCTAAAAATTTGTATTTAGGGCTAAAATCCAGCTTTAAGTTTTAAGGCTAAAACCTTGTAGTCACTGAAAAACCCGATACCAATTTTCCTAACCTTAGTAACATTGCCCCCAATCAGCTTATTTATAGTTTTTACAATTTAAATATTCACGCCCAAAATTTTATTTGGGGGAAATAATATTTATATACCATCCAAAAAAGTTTTGAAAGTAGTAACTAACTCATAACTTATAGTTAAAAATTAACCTTGATTTCCATAAAACCATTCTATTTCACAGGTTAAATTTTTACATGTTTTTATATATAAAAATTTTGTAGCTCAAAAGGCCCAAAAACATAACTTGGTATGAAAACAGCCCCCTCCGATTCATGCTAATTTTTTGGAAAATTTTTAAAAAAGTATTTGAATGTTATATTTATAGTTTAAAAATAACAATTGACATGATTCAAATGGCATTACAAACCATTTAAATTACTTTCCCAAAAATGGGCAAAAAAGCATAAAAGCCCTTTTCTGTTTAGTTAAGCCGTAGAAAATAATTTTGTTGTTAAAAACTGAAAAACAGTCATTTAAACGCAATAATATGTTTAAAAAATTTTTCTTTTATTTTTCCCCTTTCATTTATTACATTTTTTTCAAATTTTATTTTATTTAAAAATTTTTTCCACCCGGAGGGAGTGCTTTTAAGCTTTTTTTGGCTTTATAAAATTTCCCCTTTTAGGTTTTTAAAATATAAACTTCTTAAAAAACCCTATAATGCAATTCACCCCAAAATTTTTTTGTGTCCTTTTTTAGCATTTTTTATTTTTTCTTGATGTTGTTGTCCCTTTCCTTTGTTTTTTATTTGATTAAAAAAAAGTATTGTTTTTTTTTATTACAGAAATTTATTTAGAGTTTTATTTTCTTTTCCCTTTTTTATTTGGAATGGTTTTTGTAATTTTTGTTGTTGTTTTTTTAAAAATTTATAAAGTGTTTATTGAAAAATCTCTTTGTTTGTGTTTTAATTTTTTCGTTTTACTAAAGCCCAAATTGGGCCCAAATTTTTATTTAACAATCAGTAAATTTGACTGAAAATGTATTTATTTTTTACTTATCTCTTTTGTAGGTCAAATTTTTTAAAAAACCCTTTAAGAATTTAAATTTCTACATTTTCAAAAATAGCTATCTATCACAAAAAACATAATTTCCCTTGCTAAATCGGCAAAACGTCCTTTTTAAAATTTCAGTTTCTTTCTGACCGATGAAATTTTTGTTTTAAAAAGGCTGACCTAAACTTTAACCCGAAAATCCCCCAAAAATTTGGGGGACAGTTTCATAACTGGGTTCTGGAAAAATTTCATTTGAGAATTTCGCAGGTTATTGGATAATTATATTTAAAATTTAAAAAAAAAAAATGCCCAAGCGCCCAAAGCTTGTTTATAATTAACCAATACACCTTCAAAAGAAGAAGTGCTTTTAATAATATAAAGATGAGTTTAAACAATGGAATGCTCTTGAAACAACAAAATATATTAAAATGTAATGAATTTTGACAGTAATATAGAAAAGTTGGGTTTGCTTTAATGGAAGGAGGAAGCTGTTTGTGAAGCCGCAGTTTGTATGGGAAGATATAAGGCCTGTCAATCATTGTACTGTATAAAATTAAAGGGATTCAATCCCCAAAAGTTTAAGAATGGCCATGATCTCACTAATATTTCTTTACAGATACCGAACATGTAACGAAGAACTATATCAAAAGCCAGCCGCATGGCATATAGTATTTTTTACTGAATTATATTCTGGTCATTCTTAATCATATTTACAACCAATAATTAACACAGGATCCATAACGCTTGCACAGCTATAAATGAATTTTTATGTTTGTTGGATTTATAGCCATTTTTTATGAAATTTAAATGCAGGCCCTGGTTTACAAAAATTTTGTTGAAATTTTCCTTTAAATTTTATTCTTTTACAAATTGTTTAATTAGAAAATTTGGGTTTTTTTGATGGGTTAAATGATTACTGTTTTGGGGAAAATTTAAAATACCCTTTAAATTTTCAATTATTTCTTGTTTTCATATTTAAATTTTAAATAATTTTAAATAATCTTTTTTATTCCTCTAAAAAAGCAAAAAAGTTATGAATGGTATAATAAAAAAATTTCAATTAAAGGGAATTGTTTTAAGTTTTGCAAAAAAAAATGTTTTAAATACGGGGGATTTTTTTTTTTTAAACCATTTTCCCCTTAGTTAACAAACCTATTTTTTTACTTAATATTACCGTGGGCAATATTATAAAATTAAATTAAATTGAGTTAATACCAAACCGTCTTTTTTCGTGTGGCCCTGATTAATACAATACATATGTAGATCTAACCAGTATTAGAATCGATGTTTAGATTTTTAAATACAAATCTGTTCAATATGAAAATGCTTATATATACATAACATATTTAGGATGATAATGATGCCGAAATATATATAGAAATTAAATAGTAATATCAATTTGAAATATACATGGTCCTCCTCACAGGTGCTAGTGGAATTTGATTTTGACCTAAAAAATGTGTTTGACCCTGTTATTTCTTACAAATAAATATCAATATAGGGGTCTATTAAAAAAAAAAAATTAAAAGAAAAATTTTTTTTCATGTTTATATTATTATAGACTATAATAATATAGAATCTAACAGTGGAAAAAAAATAATTTTTTTTTTTAATATATTGATACTTTTTTATTGTAATAAATAACAAGGGTCAAACACATTTTAGGCAAAAATCAATGCCACTAGCACTGTGGTCCCGCCTCGTCTCGAGTCACAGGTCCCCCTTGTCCAAAATATGGTCCGCCCGCCAAACATACGGTCCTCCTTGGTACGGTCCGTCCTGTCGCATGGTCCGCCCTGACGTACGTCCATACATATATGTATTCAATAGCTGCAGGAGGGCTTTTGTCCGCCCTGATATCTTCACGGGAGGGCTTTTGTCAGCCCAGTCAATTTAACGGGACCTGTCATTTTCATGGGAGGGCTGTGTCCGCCTTGTCATTTTTTGACAGGAGAGCTTTTGTCCGGTAGGGCTTTTGTCCTACATATGTGAGATAAGTTTTGGACGTTTTATAAAACGGAGTTTATCCACGACTTTTGCAAGCGTTTTCCCATCACGATTTCAAAATGGAGACCGATGTCCCGCATGTCCAAGTAAAATTTTATACAAAACAGTCCAGGTGATTTATTTTTGAATATTTAGAATGTTTCTTTGTCCAAATGTTTTATCGCATAAGAATGTATCTTTTCCCGCCTGTTTGAACAAAAGCTACACCATAGATTGTAACATAATTTGTCTTCAATCACAGGCGCTAGTCACATAATCAAATATTTTACATAATCGGTCTATATATGTATATAAAGATATAAGGCCCCCAACGTGTAAAATATTTGATTATGTGACTAGCGCCTGTGTCTTCAATCCAGACGATTAGGTTGCACAACACTAAATTATGCCTTGTTCTCATATTTTCGGGGGTTCTCATATTTTCATGGCGTCATGTCCAGTTGTGAATGACAGCTCGTGCGATTGATTGGACTCTCCAAAAAAGCATCAAGTTTTCGCCAACACTTATTTTTATAAATTACTACCATAAGAATTCGTACTAAACATATTAAACACATAAATATAAATCTGTCAATGTCATTACAATTATATTTTTTTCTTTTCTCATTTCTATACGTTATTTTCAATTACACAGCAACAAAAAAGAATAAAAAACGTATCTTCGCCTTAAAATTCATCACCGGAATTTATACCTAACTTAAACCAATGTCCCGAAATATATTGAGTGCAGTATAGAATTTGTGCGCGCGCAACGTAATTACCGAAACGAGGCCATCCAATCAAAATCCCCCAAAATATGAGACAGCTTCCGAGCGACACAGACCAGACTTCCCGAAAGTTGAAAAAAACTGTCAGACATTCGGTCTGACAAACCATGAAAATCTGTCGGACCGAAACGAAATCTGTCGGACCAAATAAAATTGATCAAAATCAAAGAATAACTTGTGTTTGTATTTCTAAGAAACTTTTTGTTTTTAATTTTTTTTCGCCGTAAAAATCGGCACATTCCTTACAGCGCATTTTCATCTGCTCCCTATCATACACCCCAACGATTCACTGTCTTGCTTCTAATTTTCATTAAATTTTGTCTCAGGTCTATTCTTTTTATCCTTTTACTGCTGTTCTGCCTGTTCCTCTGACGTAGATTTTTTATTTTTCCAAGGTTTGGCACCTTTAGCGACGCCATTTTGTATACATGCGGCTTGGATAAAAGCCGGACAGTCGGACCGATCGGGAATAAAAACTCGTCGGACCTGATCAAAATTTATCGGACATGTCCGTCGGACCGACGTATTTCGGGAAGTCTGCACAGACTACCGATAGTGAAAGTAGAAAGATTAGTATTTTTTACTGAAATAGTATATTTTCGTATTTTAAACGGTCCCTGTTTTGTTTGTCATAGTTTTTACTCACTGTTGATGTTTTTTGTCTTCCATTTAATTAATTTAAAATCGGTGGCTTTAATTTAAAACATTAAACCCCTGAAAATACGGGTCAACGGCATACATATCAATACTATGTTTGTGGGCACTGGTGTTACAGTCACATAGGTATTAGCAATGATATGTGATGATAATTTATGCTGTTTCAGGAAATAATTACTGAGCACCCAAATTCACTATTTAAAAGTGACGTATTTTACGCTTGAATTTGCTGATGTTTTTTTAAGCAGTTTGTCGAGTATTACCCTGATATATATACTGGTTTCCTAGCAGTTTCCTCCCCTAGCAGTTTTCCGGCCGTTTATCATTTTCTTCCAGTACAGTCTATTTTTACCAGTAAGGCATCCACATTACTTCATCAATCAGAGAAACATTTGTTTTCTATGCTTAACAGCATAGCCATACATGCCATAATATCCGGGACTGTCCCCGAAATAAGGTGTCTTTTCTGCAGGCATCCCGGAGATGATTTATGCCCCAGTAAAAATGAAATTGTAAAATAATCTACTTTGCAGCCAGATATTTCTTTTTTTTAAAATTCTTATTGTCAAGTTATTATCATTTATTATAGAATGCTTATAATGGAATGATTATCCCCATACAGCATTGCAATTTGCAGTAAGGCCTTAAAAAATTGTTTTAAATTGTTTTGTTAGGGTAACCCTACCCTATCTAAATATATGCCAGACCTTACCAGAGATCTGCAGAGGACGCGATTTTGCGCCATTGGCGCTAAGAAAATGAGAATGGCGCAGGAAAATCGGAAGCAAAGGGCCATTGGAGCATCTAAAATCTGTGCCAGACTTGTAAGAAAACAAAACTGTCTGCTGGTTTATTTAGTCATCCAGTCAAAAGTGGTACCAACAGCAACATGTTACCCATTCCCCTGTAATTACGCATTTCCTTGAGTTTATCCATTCTCCTATAGCTTTTGTCCATGTTATCTACTTACCGCATTTCTTCTCATAATCCCTCACAGATACTCATTTCTACTACGTAAATTTAATCCAATAAACCAACAAACAAATTATACAACTACTTAATACAGTGTAACTTCCGAAAACCGAACACCTATGGGACTTGTCAAAAAGTTCGGATTTCAGAGGTTTCCAGAATTCAGAGGTATATGATAATGTGGACAAGACTAAGCCACTTAATATCACTAAATGTCAAGGAAGATGTGGCCATTACTGTAATATTATATATAATAGTCTTTTAATCAAGATTAAGATGTGAATGAAAAGAATACATTTTTATCTTACCTGCAAAATTAATGCTTTTGGATTTCTATCAGTTTGTAGAAATGTTGTTAATTGCATACACTTACATATCGTCCGATGCTAGTTAATTAATTATTACATCAAATGCAATAAAATCCCTAAAGACGTTTGATGCATACATTGTCCAATTAATTGTCATATAATCCGCTAATAAACACTTCAAATTAACTGACCGCCGTAAATTACTCTGATTAACCAACATACCATTTCACAGTTTGTGATTTTAACGCGTGTCAAATTACACGATCACCGCTAATTAGTAAACAATCCATAGGGAGATTAAATCTTCCTGCAGGGTAAACATTCTCGATTTACAATGTATTTCACACCTTTGACTATTTCCGGTTTTTGGAGGTAAAATTGCATTGATTTGACTCTAATTTTACGAAAATATCGTCCGGAATTCAGAATTTTAAAGTTCCGGAATTCAGAAGTATTATATTAATAGAAAATAGAAGGGAAAAAATCGGGACCGAAAAAATTGTTCACTTTTTAGAAGTTTCCGGATTTCAGAAGTTCCGGAATTCGGAAGTTACACTGTATTTAAAATGATTATAGGTAACTGAAAAAAAAGTGTTGCTATTTTAAGAAATGCTGTAAGTTACAGAATAATCTGACAGGTGTACAACTTGATCACCCCTAAGGTAACTCAAGTTCACGCAAGCTTTGGCTGATGAAGTGTAAACAATGTCTATTTCGTCATCAGAATATTTGACAGGGTGATTAACCAATCAGGGAAACATTGTGCATGACTTTTTTACATGATCAAAAGGTCTGTCGGCAAGTGTCTTTGATGTATGCTGTCTACACAGAGGCATACAAGGGACAATAAAATTCGTCAATATACAGTGGTAAGGGACATTTAGTGCAAAAGTAGGAACAATTCAATGGATAATGCACAGTATTAGACATTAGAAGTAAGAACCAGCAATTATGAGAATAAATTTGCATATCAAATTTTTGAGCAGCCATTTAAACAAGCATTTGATAGTATTGCGGGCAATACAGTAGTCCCCTACCGGTCCCTCAAAAAGTTCTTTAATTGTCATACACTCCTGTGTATTGCCATTTATAATGAATTTGAGGATGAAGTCTGTATTTGAAAATATCAACCACAAAACATAATAAAATAAGTTTGTCTATATCACAGTAATGTGAACCTTGTCATAATTATTACGATGTGGGATTTTAAAGTAAATCCTATTAGGAATGAAGAAGTTGGAGTGAAAATACCAGTTTCTCGAAAAAAATCTAAAGTTCAAGGGGACATAATTCTGGAAATATTCTTGCTAGAGTATTTAACCTTCTCAAAAATGTCGAGTGATAATAAGAAACATATATATGAAGTTTGAAGTAGATACATTAGGAAATAAAGAAGTTATTTAAAAAAGACAACATTTTTTTCCCCTAAAAAATCTAAGTTCAAGGAGGTAATACTGATATTTTTTGTGCTAGAGTTATACAAAACCTTGTCACATATGAAATGTGGTTGATGACCAGAAACTTTATATTTAAAGTTTGAAGTAAACACCTTAAGAAAATAAAGAACATATAGTGAAAAAGCTGAAAAATTTAAATCGAAATCTTGAAATTCAGGCTATTTGTTTGCCATAGCAACCAGAATTTTTTCAACATAGGAAGAAAAGAAAAAGATGTGCATAATCTCCAGACTGCCATCTACCCATATTTCAAGTTTCATAAAAATATTTTCAGTACTTTTTGAGTTATCACTGGATCCAGTTTAATGTGTTAAAAAATTTTCCATATTTTCAGACTATTTGTTGCCATAGCAACCAGAATTTTCAACATAGGAAGAAAAAAAAAAGACGTGCATAATCTCCATACTAACATCTATCCATATATCAAGTTTCATAAAAATATTTTCAGTACTTTTTGCGTTATCGCGGGATCCAGTTTTGTGGACGGACGGACTGACAGACAGACAGACGGACAGACAGACGGACAGACGGACGGAGGGTAAACCTAAAGTCCCCTCCGGTTAAACCGGTAGGGGACTAAAAATATTTTGCCTGCAATTAATATTTGAAAGTTACCATGTAGGCATAATTTTTAATTATTGGTTAAGTTCTGAATCATAAGTGAACCACTTGTCATAAAATATGATTTAAGTTTTATTACCAGGGAAATTCAATTACCTACAAACCTTAACAGTTATTTAGGTCAATGTTTACTTATTTTCCCAAGGCCCATACTTTGGTAAAAATGGCCCATCATTTTCAGACCAAGTGGGCCCAGGGCCCAGTACTTTCAAATTCTTGGCAGATCTCTGCCTATCATTTTTTTAAGTCTGTCAAAAAAAAGGTATTGCAAAAGTTTAGTGTATAGAATTGAAATCATGTTCTTGTGCCATTGGGGACATTATCAGAGGT